TGCAGAACTGTGAGGGTGCAGAGGTCCTCACTCCTGGATGTGAGTTTCAACAGTAAACACACACACACACACACACACACACACACACACACACACACATAGTAGCAACAGAACTGTACATTTCTCCCCAGTGACCTGATAATGAATATTCAACCATCTCTTCTTCCGTTTCATACCCCTCTGGTCAACTCTCACATTCCTCTTCCTCCTCCTCCTCCTCCTCCTCCTCCTCCTCCTCCTCCTCCTCCTCCTTCTCCCTCTCTGTCGTCCTCCCTCCATTTGTCCCTCAGCTCTTTGCTCATTCCCTCTGCAAACCACCCCCTCTTTCCCTCCCTCATATCTCTTGCTCTCTCTCTTGTTTCGTTCTTCGTCCTACTCACTTGTTTTTGCTCATTTGAACACAGAGTTAGAAGTATTAGCTGTGTTTCGCTCGGAGCTCTGTGGCGTACGGTTAAATAAGAAGCGTGGAGGAGGGAAGAGAGAGTTCCCCGGGGGTCTGCATGCATGGGACATATCTGAGGTGCCTTTAGAGCAGATTTAGTGAAGAATGCCTCAGTGCAACTACATAACATATGTTGAATAGTTAACTTAAGGATATAATGAAGGTTCAAAAGATAAGGCTGCAGATTTGCTTTATTATTTTGCTAACAAATCCCATTTAAATACTAGTATGTAGGTCAGAGGGGACCTTGTCCAACATCCCTGTTCAGTGCAAGCAATGAAATGTTTATCTGAATCTAAAATGTGCAAATACGGTGGCAACGCAAAGGTTAAGCAACATAGCTGATGAAAAGATGGATTACTGACACGAATATGAGGCTTCAACAATCCAAATTAGTTTGATCCATGAATATTCATCAAAGTTAAGACCTAAATATGTCCTTTGTTTGTTTGTTCAGCTGCAGCTATTTCAGAAACGCTTCTGTGACCTCCATCTTTATGAGAAATACTAGAAATCAAACCACTGGAGGGTTTCTACTCCCCATAAATATCCATCTGCACTGAGTCCATGACTGATGTGACATCACTCCGAGGAGCATTGAAGCCGGAGGAACACACCTCCAGTGTGTGTGTGCGTGCGTGCGTGCGTGCGTGCGAGTGTGTAGACCCCATGATGAGATGTGATGAGACTGCTTCTGGTTCACAGTAACAAGGCTGCTCAGACCCTCACAGTCCCGTACATGTGAGAAACTGTTGAAGACAATGGTTTGATGCCCACACATCTGATTCCCAGTACACTGTCATGGCCCGCAGAAATAAGGCACCGTCAGCTTACATAAATCACGGAGGAGGTGTCACACAAACACACATGAACACACAGTGGTATCCAGTGTGTGGGTGGGAGCTGTCATAGCCACTGTTGGATAATCACTTGAAGGTGAGGCTAACTTAAGATCTTCATATTCTTTGGTGAAGTTGTGACATTGAATGGAGATACAGTTTTAAATAAAACTTTATTTTCTTATCTCCCCACATATGGCTTTACCAATTCCACACTGAAAGTACAAATGCAGCCTCTTCCCGACGCTCAGTGAGACAGAGTGGTATCAATGACCCGACTGGGACACATTCACTTAAGGCTCCTGCATCGTAAATCGCAGCTCATTAAGTATTGAAACAGCCCTGATGTGCTGTTAAATACTTACATGGGGAAAAGTGATGATTTAATAATTGACAATGAAACAGAATAGATCTGCTCTAATGTACTGTACTATAATGACACACTGTTCCCAAGGAACTATATAAAACAGGAAAAAAGATTTACTGAATGACAATCAATGAGCTGCAGATAGGAAGGTTTGACCTCTGGATGTCAGGACAGACACAAACCCACACACACACACACACACACACACACACACACACACACACACACACACACATAGAAAAACATTACAAGTCTTGTGACGTTCCTGTTCAGCGTGAGGGAGGAGAGGATCTTCAAAGATACGCGGTGCAGCCATGAGCCAAGTTGAACACATTCTTGTTGAGTGAGTCACGCCCTCATGCTGTTACTACAACACCCTGCATTCAAATTCACCATCACTAACAAAGTACACCGAACCAAAGAGAAGATACTCACTATGCAGGATAGCTCCGTTCGGAGTGTGACTGTATGGACGACTGAAAGTGCCTCTTCGCACATGTCACACGTGTGTAAATGTTTCAGTGGTGAACCTTCACCTCCTGTTCACCTCCAGTCTGTGCGAGCGAGGAGGATAATACAACTAATCGCAGAGTGGCTTCTCGTGGAGTTCGACTTTGGTGAACTTCGACCCGGGATATTTGCTTTGCAGTCACATATGTGAGTCTTGCACTCTTGGGTTTTCCTTCACCTGTGATACTGCTGCTGCTGCTGCAGGCCTGGTTTTCAGGGTCAAACATCACCTCTAAGGCTCAGTTCATAAATTATCATTATAAACCTATCATTATTGATTATATTTAAAAATATAAGCACATACATCTACTCTAGTACAGTAAAAAGTAAATGTACGTTGTTATATCCACCCCCTTGCGTCAGACTGTCCTCACCTGTCCTCCTGTTGAGTTTTCTGACGACTACCTGACGATGAGCCGCCTTCCTCTACAGCTGTTCTCAGTTCAGTTTGTAGATCTCTATAAAGCTGCTCACCCTCTCTTGTTTGCCAAATCATTAATTTCACTATGCAGCTATTGTCTTCCTGTCATTTGTCTGTTCAAGTGCAGTTCGTAACCTTGCCATGCATTCTCATTAAACTGCCCTTAAAACATTTCCTTGCTTTTAAGAAAAGAAAAAATCAACTACTATTTTTTTTTTTACTAATTGAATCCCAGAATAATGTTTCTCTTTGTGCTAAATAATAAGGAGTATTTGTGCAGCTCAGTATGTTTAGCATGTGTAAACGCAGCCATGTGCATCGCCTCCCTCCTCCCTTCCTCCTCCGCGTCGCTTCTGAACTGTGAGTGAATATCTGGAACAGTGTTTAGAGAGCTTTGCTGGCGATTAATGAGTGTTTGCAATGAGCACAGGAGCAGCGCGACCAGTTTCTGCCATAATTACAGGGAGCCGCTCTGATATGAAAGCCTAATTAGTGAGGGTGCAGAGGTACCGTCCTATTAATTGCTGAATTGCTGTGTTTCCTCTGCGACAAGCCTGTCAGATGGGTCCTTGGCTGGGTGCACAATGGCAGGTTTGACGGGGGGGTGGTAACAGTAGAGGACAGAGCCTCTCAGGCCTGAGACCCTTTAGAATGAAGCAGCAGCTTCTGGTAAACCTTTGACACAACAGGCAGATACACATAAGTTTTCAGCAATGTCACCAATTTGATTGTGTCATTAAAATTAAATATCTGATATATATATAATTTATTACATCAAATTCTTTGGGAAACCTGTGTATCTGCATCATAGGATTTCTGCTGCTGCTGGTCACCAATGATTTCATTCACTGCCTTGACAATTGATTGATTACTAGTTTTCATACTAAGCTTTCAGTGAGAAGGTAACGATGGATCGTATGATGGACGTACAAGAACAGCCAGGTGTCTCAAAAACATTTAGCTTGATGATGATGATGATGAAGACAATGACGATGATTGTAGTATTCCTAAAGATGCTTTTCTAATATCGTAGTATATAAGAAATACACGCAATAGTTTTGCTATAGTAGGAGTTATTATGGAAGTTATTGATATCAGTGGGGTTTTGTTAAAAAGTCAGATTTTGATATGATCTTTGTTGCTGGATGTCATTTATATACGGTTTATATTTAATTATATCTAAATAGTGAATCTTGTTTCACGATGTCACATTTTGAGGATGTTTTGAGGAGGCTCAGTGTATAATGTCTTTTTAAAACCGTGCAGTGTTGTGGCCATGCAGCTCGGTGCTTTGTGCCAATATTGAAATATTGCGGCATCACAGCCTCACCACAGGAGATGGTCCATCAAAATGCTGCTCCTGTCAGCTGATCTGGAGTCAGCCTCGTGTTAGGGTAGATCACCTGAACAGACAGAGAGAGATGGTGAAACTGAACCTGGATCTGCAGCTCAGCACCACAGATCTCGCGTGGCTTTCATCCCTCCTCTACTTTCACTGGCACAGAGGAGGAAAGAAGAAAGAGGTCTCACTCTGCCATTATTTCTGTTTCCATAAAAAACGAAACAGCTGCAGAACAGTTTACTGCCTGTGTTATGAATCTGTGAACGTGAGCAAACAGGGAGGGCTTCAGAATGTACTGTACACACTGAACTCTAATTGCATGATGGGAATTGTAGGATATAGTGGCATTTGGACCGAAGGTAATCATCCTTAATGTCTTTCTCACAAGTGCTCCGAAGCCAAATCCATCGCCGCTTTAAAAGAGTTTTCATGATAATCAAATCTGTAAATGTAACTGATCACATTAATGTGTTCGATGTAGCCTTCATTATAGTGATTACAGTGTCATGTGTGTTACCCCTCCATTTCATATCAGAATGGCTGCTGTGAAAAAGCTCCAGTGATACGGAGTCACTCAGGGACGTAGGAGTTCCCTTGGTGGTCTTTGATAATCCAACTTTACTTTGGGTAGATGATCCGATCAGACATTAGGATGAAGGAGTTTTACTTTTACTTGTAACCGGTAATTTTCAAAAATAACAGTCAGTGATATTTACTTACAGAGCAGGGAAGTGAGATCCTTCAACATGCATTCACAGGAGACACTCGGACTCTGAGCCGCATCGCAGCCAGCCACTAGGGGGCGATCAAGACATTTTGGCTTCGTGTCATGTCGTCATCCATCCGTTCTTTATTTGTACATTTTTCTTATAATACTTAACTGTAGCTTCAGTATAAATTACAACGAGGGGCTTAAAGTTGGAAATACTGTCAATTTCAACCAACATTTATTTTCCGAATAACCACATGGTGAAGCATCTTCTCAGTAGACGATCTTTGTTACTACAGTTCCCCCCCCCCTCTCTCTCTCCTCCCACTCCCTGCTCCTCTCTCTCTCTCCTCCCACTCCCCTGCTCCTCTCTCTCTCTCCCTCTCTCTCTCTCACTCCTCCCTTCCACACACAGGAAAAAAAGGAAAAACCCTGCGCGAGGCGGCCACCGGAGCGCGAGGTGTATTCGTGCCCGTGTCCGTGTCTCCAGTCAACATGGCCACAGTTGTAACCTGCACCCGCTTCACTGACGAATATCAGCTGTACGAGGAACTCGGAAAGTAAGCGACGCACACACACACACACGCGCTGCTTGTGCTCTTGTTGCATTCATTGTGTATGTATATATATATATGTGTGTGTGTGTGTGTGTGTGCACGTTTTTCCTCCACTGCTGCTGCCATTGTGCGGGTTTTACTTCAGCGTTGACAAGGCAGGAGAGGGTCTGTGAGAGAAGCCCCCGGGCAGCTCCTCTGCCGGCGGCTCCGTGTCAGGAAGCTCCGGTCCTGGACACATCGTGTCCGCAAGGTGTGAAACAGCCGCTTCTTGTGGAGCAGCGTGTACCTGCAGGCGTCGAGAGGTCGCTGTGCGTTTCCCTGCTGGTGGCACCTCCGAGCTCCACCATGCAGCTCTGCCGTGCATGTGCGAGCGTGCACACTGCGGGGCTGCTGTATATGTCAAGCCAATTAGAAAAGAGAGACGAAGACAGGGCTGCTGCTGCTGCAAACAAGACTGTGGTTGCTCTTTTTATTTATTTGTTTGCCTATGCGCACCGTATTCATGAAAGGACCCATTCCAGTGGTGATCCTCTCAGTAACATCTAGTCTCTGCCAGAGCTGCTCAGCACCGCCGTGCAGATGCGTTTAAAGGAGGCGTCTGCACAACACAAACGCAGGCCCAGGCTCACAAATGACAGCTAAATGTCAATTCTTCTTTTCACACCTTCATTCCTCTGCAGCCTCGCTCACATTCCCCCCCCCCTGTGAGCTAATGACAGGCTCCTTTTTCACAATAAAGCCCTCTCTGACACACACTAGTAGCCAAGACCCCTTCTCTTGTCTCTCACACAGAATATCAGACTGTTTGAATTATGCATGTGCCTTCCTCTGCCCTTCTCTTTAGGTGTATGTGTGTGATTCATGTCCTTAGCGTGTGCCCAGTAGCCATGCACTCTGCACCCCCTGTGATGCACAAATGTGATGCAGAGTTTTCTTGAGTCTGAAGTGGTCTTAACGCATGTTGTGTTGTTTTTCTTGTTGATTTCTTCCGCTCCAGGGGCGCCTTCTCTGTCGTGCGTCGATGCGTCAAGAAGTCCACCGGCCAGGAGTATGCTGCGAAGATTATTAACACAAAAAAGCTCTCAGCCCGAGGTAAGTGCAGCAGGATGTCCCGACGTGCCGCTCGGCATTAGAGTCAAGGAGTAACTGAGAAGCTGACGTTAGTGTAGGCTGCTGTCCACACTGCTCAGTGGAGTCAGATTATTTCCTTAAGAGCAGCGAGCCTCTGTCCCTGTCAGAGGAGATTCCTGAAAAGCTGGAGGTTTGAAATGGTACAGTGAGGTTCTGTGGACTTTGGTGGTTTCTGCAACCATCTTTTGGTTTGTTGTTGTTGCTGTGGGTCTCTTGCAAAGGACTGTATGTGCACGTGTTACAGCAGTTGGCAGGATGATATATTTCTTGGTTGTGATAACATACCCACACAGTTTATTACTGACCTCTGGGAATGCAGCAGCACAGTTTAACCCATGTGGTGTTTCGTATTTGTGTGCGTGTGAGTCTCAGACTCTGCGTGTGCTGCATGTTTGCCCATGTCGGTGTCAGACAAGGCCACCGAAGGTTGAGCGATGCAGGGAGCTGCAGATCAGGGCCAGTTCTGGACTGACTGGGCTGCTCTTTTCCCGGGGGAGGCAGGCTGAATTTCTGTCTCCCCCCTCTGCCTCCCCGTCTCTCTCAAACTCACCCACCCCTCCTTATCATCTTCATTCTTTTTGATATTGTTTGTTCCTGTCTCATGTTCCCTCACATCTTTTAGTCAAAAGATTGAGGAAAGAGCTTAAAAACCATTTTCTCACCAGACGATTTGATCGTGTGTGTATTGTGTTGGAGGACTGTGTTGGCAGTGGTCCGGAGCCAGTAACCCAGCAACAGCAGGGGTGAAACTCTTCATCCCAGAGACTGTCTGGCAGCGAGGCGTGTTTGTGTGTGTGTGCGTGCGTGCGTGTGTGTGTGTGTGTGAGAATCGTGGTGACAATAACCACACAAACACATATGTGATTGCTCTTTTCTTGCTTATACCACAAACACGGTTGCACATATTTCTTTCTCACCTATCTAATGGTTCTCAGTTCTCACACTTCACAATATGCGCACAAGGCTAGATTGTATACTGCTGCACACACCACAGCAACACACACACACACACACACACTCATCAGGGTGACAGAACTGAATTGTGCGTATGCATCTCTGTGTTAAAGGATAATTTGCTCTATTATTTTTTAAGGTCATTTTAACTCAACAGCGACCAGTCATCACAGTTTACACACTGACTGCACCAAACTGAGTTTCTGTAGTTAAGCATTTGCAAATGTTTTCTTAGTCCACTATCGATGCCTTTATTGCATTTGAGTCACACAGCGATAAAATAAAATCATTAAACTGTCCATCACAGTCTCCTCAGCTTTAATTCAGCCCAGTATCTGACCTGCAGGGCAGCAGTGACTGATTAAAGCATTTGCCAACTTTTTCAACTCATAAGAAAATTGTAAACTAATTAATAATCTCATGTTGATTTTTACACTTTTTAAAAAACTTTTGGGGGGATTTCCAGATTATGTGATAGAGACAGTAAAGAGCTATAGGAAGGGCAGGGGACATTAATGCAGGGAGCTAGCAGCTGGAGGAGCAGTATCTTGTTCTTAGGAACTCTAAAGTGTGTGTGTGCATGTGTGTGTGTGTGTGTATGTGTGTGTGTGCGTGCGTGTGTGTGCGCAGGGAACAGGGGATTAAGCTGTGTTTTCTGTGGCTCAGGGGAGGGCACATTGGCTCGTGGTGAGGTCAGCGATTATGGCTGGGTCGCCTGGCGTCTCATACATTCGCACAGTTGCTCACACACACACGTGGTCTGTCACTTCGACTGACGTGTGAACTGACACATACAAACAGACAAAAATACAGTGAAGACAGTGACAATGAAGAGAGAGTGAAACAACAACTCAACAAGTGTAGTTGCTGGGAGTAAAATATTAAAACATTTTGATAATGTTATATGAGCCGATATATATTTATCAATTATGCCTTACATGCAAAAACCAAAAAATGTATTGAGGCTTGATATTTTACATTATTATGACTATAAATTAAAAAATCTAATACAATCCAATGTGTACAAATAAAATATAGTTTGTGAACCTAAATACACATTTATTTAGTTATTTTTTCTGTAAACATAAACAGAGATACCAATATGTCGGCCTCATACAGGCTGATTTTCATTGGCCAATGGACAGCTCAGTCAGACTCTGATATACACAATTTAAATGATACATTATTTAAAAATAATCTAGACTAATTATGAGATAGTGATTTTATACCAAAATTGTGACCTTGTAATAAACAATCTGCATAATTCTAAAAACTGCATGGACTCTGAACTACTGAATAAACAGCATCCCAGGATGTGTACGTTTTCCTTCATTCCAAAACTGACACTGTGAGCTGTGAATACTGTATCTCAGATGATAAGCTGTGGTGAGTTTACAGAAGTAGATAAAGACAATTATTGTAGCCTGTGGCAACAGCAACTATACCTGATAGAAATCGTGGGAAGCAGAAGTTCAGAGGGGAAGTGTGCCCATGAGCTGATGTTGCTTTTTCTTGTGTGTTGAAGTGTTCCCACAAGCTTCCGTGCATGCTGATGATGGGGGTGGGGGGGGCGTCTGCTTTCTGTGGTTTTTGTCATTAGCTGTGACCTCTGTGCATCTTCAGCAGACGCTTGAATCAATCATCCATTTAATGCACCAGGAGTCGGGGGTAAGATTTTCAAAAATACAATAGAAGGAAGATTAGAAGATATTTTCATATCTCTTCTCTGACAGAGGGTTCAGTACAGCTGCTCGTCTGTTTTTATCAAAACCAATCCGTGCATGTCTGCAAGTGCTGTATATGAGGAAGTCAGCATTGGCTGTCTTGTTTTTGCTTTTGTCTGCTGCTTTCCATTTATGGAATTCACTGCCATCATCAATCTTCTGCTTTTACTGCGTCCACTGATGATGCAGCAGTGAATTTACAAAAACACTTTTAGACATGTAGCTTTTCCTGTAAAGGAGACATATGATTCTTTTTCAGTTTTTTTTTTGTGGATGTAAAATATCTACAAAGTCAAAAGGTAAAAGTGGCTCCTCTCCACATAAATCACTGCTCCTGAAGCTCCTGAAGCTTCTGAGGCTCCTCGACAGTTGTCCGGTTGATACTTCCAGGGAATCTTGATGTCATGTGACAACATTATGGCTGATATTTCCATAACGCACACCCAGCGGCCATGCATTGAAAACGGTTGACCAATCACAACAGAGTGGGTCAACCGGCCAATCGTAGCAGACTGGACTTTATCGGTAAAGAGACAGGAGCTAAAACCAGATGTTTCAAACAGAGGCTGAAAAGAGGAGCTGCAGTAATGGACAATATGAGGAAAATGTTTGTGAAGTTTAGGGCATGTAAACCTTAATACAAATTAAAATCATGAACCTTAGTATCAGCAGAATATATTTACCTCTTAATTTGATCACTTTTTGACATATATAATCTCACCAGCACTGTCTTTATGTTAGGGCTTTTTATTCATACACTGTGTAAAACTGAATGAAACTTAAAGAATCATGTTGGGGCTGTTAATGTTCTTAACAGAATCACGTGGTTGAAATTCCCAAGAAAATCAGTGACTGCAAAACAGGTCAATCAGCTTCGACATGTTATGGAAACATCTGCTGTGATGTCACAGCCACATGCTTGAGAGTTTTATGAAGAGCATCGCTGCAGCAGTTATTAGTGTTATTAAGATTAAAGTATAGATGCAGAGATCTTTTGTCCTCAGTCAGACTTAATGAAACTATGTGAGGCTGAGTCATGTGGTGACTGCAGCACTTGTCAGAGCGCGTGACAAACACACAGTCATGAGAGTTATTACCTGGTTCCATCATCATCATCGTTGTCATCTGTTCAATGTGAGGGCACAAAAAAGTTAGCAAAGCAGCAGGGTCAGGATGCATTCAGGTACTTTATTTAGTGTAGGTCACCTGCACTTTGGTAGCCCTGTTTATCTGATTGATTGAAGCAGGGAGAGACGGATGAAAAGCACCAATGGGAAACATTTAAAGATCTACCCTGCTGCTGTATCATGTTATTTTTAGCCACAATTATGTGTCACGTATTGTGTCAAACTGCAAAGCGAGTGTATTTTTAAACCGTATTAGCTGAGGCCTTGTGATGTCAGAGACAGAGAGAGGGAGGGAAAGAGGGAGAGGCTGGTGGCACTTGTCCCACTGTTGAATTATTGAGGTGCGAGGCTGCTCTGCTCTCAATGAACACGGAAAAGAGCTGAAGAGAGGACGCTTACGCTCCTTTTCTCAGCTTCCTGTCTTCATTTGCTTTTCCTCTGCCACGTTTCCCCTCGTTCCTCTTCTGCCACTTCTTCCCCCTCCTCCCTGCAAGGCTGCCGCATCACAGGCCGTGCGGGCAGACGACGGGTGTGAACGTGTTCTCTGGCTTTTTTGGTGGGCTTCTAGTGCACTCGCTGGAGGCTGATTGGCGAAGGGCAGATAAACGTAGCAGCACTGCGCGGTGAATGTTTAATGGGCTCCGACTGTGAATATTTAATGAGAGGGAGGGAGGGAGGGAGAGTCGTAAATGGAAAGAGAAAGATGTAGATATGGAAAGAGAGAATGAGACGGTCAGAGATATATGCTCCGAGGAGGAATAGTGCATTGAAACATGTGCACGATGTTGGTCCTCCCACATCATCTTTGTTCCAAGGCTTTTGTGTGTGTGTGTGTGTGTGTGTGTGTGTGTGTGTGTGTGTGTGTGTGTGTGTGTGTGACTCTCTTTCCAAGACTCTCCTCCTGTCATATCCATCTTGCCCTCTTTTTCTCTCTCATCTATCCATCATCATTACCCCCTCTTGTGTCTGAAGCATATGGCGTCATGTGGGAGCCAACTTGAATAAAATTTTTATTTGCCATATAGCACCGGACAAAAACAGGAGATGCTGGTTGAATCTGTTACTTTCGAGGGGATTCAGATCGATTTGTCACGAGAAGCTGAATGTCCAAGCTTTAAAGCACTGCAACAATATGAAATGATAGAGAATAGTAATA